AGTCGTTCCTCACTACATCAACACGCAGTTGGTATTTTGCTTGCATTTATTGTAAAAGTTAAATATTTCTCGAGTTAAAATGTTTTTGCGAATTTTTCATAGAAATTTACTGCTGCACAACAAAGAAAGCTAAGTTTTTACAAAAGTGTTAGTTCACACGTTTATCCGTTCGTACACAGATTGTGGCTCGCCAGCGCCACTTTCCTTTGTTATACTCGTAACGTGAAAAACATAAAAATTTGACATTTTAAATGCTTTACTCTTCTTTTAAGCGCACAGTGTTAACATTTGCTGTAAACCGTTTAGCGAATTTAATCCTACAAATTGCTCTGTAAGATACGTATATACCCTTCATTATATACATTTTTTAATTCACTCCTTTTTTCCTGCCTTTAAAGGTAGGAGTTTTGTTTTTGGCTGGTGCTACTTCCGGTAGGTTAGGCGTAAAATGTATTTAGGAATGAATTTCCGTCATTCCTAATTTCGGCGTTGTGCCATCTTCAGTGTAATATTTCGTATTCAATAGTTAGTGTTTTACCATCCCGAAAGACATTCCAATGCGAAATATCTGGGAGTGATTCTAGATACTAAATTAAACTGGAAACTTAACGTTGAGAAACGTAAAGAGAGGGCTTACATCGATTATTCTACTTTTGACAAAGTCGTCGACCATTATTATTTCGTCTAAGGCTTACTCGATGGTGGAATTCACAATGAGGAACAATAAAAATTTTAGGGACCTTATGACGCTTAAAGCACTTTATATCGCTCTGGTTCGGAGTATTGTAGAATATGGGGCGATAATATGGAATCCATGCTATGCAAAGCACTCTGACAGCATAGAGAAAATCCAAAGGAAATTCACCAGATTTGCTGTAAAAAACTTTTCAACGGCCGCGATATTCCAGGATATGCCCCAAGGAGTAAACTCCTTGGCCTCCAATTTTTAGCTGTGAGGAGGCTGTAGTCGTCGCTGGAAGCATTGTCTGCCTAGAGATATCTGATCTTTTTCAAATTCGGGAATCTAATTTTAATTTCAGAAATCGCTGTTCGCATAAGTCTTTATACTCGTACAACGAACCGATAGCGAGAGTTATTTGCCTTTGTAACAAACAGTCTGCGCTAATTAATTTCAACGATAGCCTTTATTGTTTTAAATTAAGTTTATTCAAACTCTTTAACTAATCTAAATTTAAACATAGAAATGTAACAAATGTAAGAAATTATGTTTCAAAGACGGAAATAAATAAATAGACAATTCTTGAGGAGAAACTGGGGTTTAAAACCGAAACTTGTGAAGTGGACGTACACCGCTATCACAAAGTCTATCCTTACCTACGGGACCAGCCTTAAGCAAACAATACAGTACAAACAATGTCAGTAAATTAAATTGCTTACAAGGAGCGGCATGCTCGGGGATCACTGGATCAGAGAACTCCTGCATTTCAGAAGCACTGAATGTAGTCCCCAATATGATGCCCATTGATCTATGCCTAAAGGAAGCCCCGATGTACTCAGCAGTACGCCTCAGAGAGTCTGGGCTGTTGGGTATCGAGGACCTTTAGGCATAGCGCAATCTTAGGCCTTACCCCTATAGCAAATAAAACCACGGACTACATGGTATCAATCGTCGATTTTGGCTTGAATGTACATGTGCGGTTTCCATCCCGAAGAGAATGGAGAAGCTGCCGATAAGGAAGCAATTTGTATCTACACTGACAGGTCCAAGATGGACCTGGGGTATATTCCGAGGAGCTTGGTGTCAAACTAGCATATTTCAGGCTGAAGTTCTGGGTATATGTGAAGCCTGTAGGATACAAAAAAAAAGAGTGGCTATTTACTCATCTGCTGTAACCAAGTTTAAGCTAGCCCAAAAATGCGTCTCAGTCAATGTTCATCTCTCTTGTCAACATACAAGGCAACGAGATAGCAGACGAACTGGCCAAGGCGGGAGCTTATTTGGATGAATCTGTAGCGGTGTTACTGGGTTCTCCCCTTAGACTAATACGTGAAGCAGTTAGCGGATTTACCTAGTGCTATAATTGGCTACATATACAAATTCATAAGTGGTTCTAATTGGTTTGATTAAAATGCAACAATGTTTTGGCAGGTAGGCTGCGGTAAAATAAAATATCGCGCTAATTGATACCTGAGTGTCAACTTGGGTAACACTACAACCAACCACCCGGTACCCCTTAGGTTATCTTATTTTGAGCTATATACACGTATATATAGATATAGGTAGATGGTTCTTTGTTGGTTGTATTCGTGGGTGGGTGAAAGTCAGTTATTTTTACCTTTTTGGTTTTTGTGGTTTAGGTCAGTGTTTCTGTGTGTTTATAGTGGCTCACAGATTATTTTACGTAACCACTTCTTTGTGTAACAGTTCAGATTGCTCTTTCTTTTTTTATCCCTTCACCGTATTTCTTAAATTTTGATCTAGTTTTGACAGTTGGAAGACACATAACTTTGATTGCCACGAAAGGGTTCAGGAACAACGAGATTCGGCATTGGTTACACGAAACACTACTTTATGATCCAGTAACATGAAACAACCGCCAATTCTCTTCTAGAAAACCGTCGAATTGTTACTGTATATTTCAGTGATCGTTTTTAGACCATCCCGGCAAAGATTAGGGATTTGAGAGAATGCACGAGAGGGAGTTAAAAATATCTTGGTTTGACATTTTGTAACTCTCGCATGGAGGCTTTCATTGAAAAGGCTAGAGCGAAAATTTGCTTACGTATTCCAAATATTCACCTTGAAAATGCAAAGTTTTTTCAAAGCGAATTTAATTGAAAATTTTATATCACTTGATTCATAATATGTTGCACTGTGCTGCATTCCATCTTCGACGCCATTAGCTAATTTTTTTTGCTTTTGAGCTCCCTTCACGCCGCACTTCCTATCTTAATCACTTTTATTTTTCATTGCGACTGGCACCACTTCTGCGGTGTCGCTGTTGTCTTTATGGTTAATACCTCGTCTTCGCTCAAGTGCTGAATATGATGTATTCACTGAGATTAAGCGGCGAGTATAAATGAGCTAAGCTCTATTTGACCAGGTTTATATTAACTTCATTGTCGTACTTTCATAATTTTTGTTAGTATACACATAAATATAGTGTTTTGATACTTTTTAAGTTCATCTTTTATTTGGTAATTTAAATAGATCTACCTTTTCATTTCTGCTTTCAAATACAATCCAGTTGACATTTCTTGGACAATCATTATTTTATGGCCCCTGTGTGCATTAGCTTTTCAAGCTGAATAGTTTTTATCCATTCCTAGCTTTATTATTACGAATTTTCCTTTCACTTGTAAAAGATATTTACAAATATCTAATGACATACTTACATAAAGAAAAGTTACAATAAATACATACATATACGAATTTTCAAAGGACATGGCGCATAGAGTTCCAGAACCTAAAATACACAAAACTCGAATGCATATATGTATGTACATATATACATACAGCTGCGAGCAATAAAATAGTAGTAAGATTCAAAATGATATTGTTTGCAACTTATGTGTATTTCTATATTTTTAATAATTTTAACTTCAAATATAGTTCGATCTATAACAGAAACCACATAAAAAGAAAAAATTTCTCAAGTATTCAGTTTTATAGCCCATTCAATTTTAGTGTAATAAAGTACAAGTTTCAAGTCACTAAAAGCTACCGTTAATTTTTTAGAACGTTTTTTGTCGAGGGTGTTGCGCATATAAAATATATTTAAAAAAAAAAAAAAATTTTAAAGTGCAACGGTAATTCTTAGTGACTTGAAACTTACAAGGCGAATTCATATTACAACAAACACATCATTTTGACATTAAGAAGTACCGCGGCGAAAATTTAAATTCGCCATCAACACCATAAATTCGCCTTGATTCTAAATAAAAAGTTTTAAATTTTTAATGATTTTTTTTGACGTTTGGTTAATGGTTGTGAACTTTGGGCAAGCTTTTAAACCTTTATTTATGTTGTTTATGTTGTAGATCAAACTATATTTAAAATTAATTATAAAAATAAATAAATAAGTTGCAAACAATATCATTTTGAACAGTGCACCGTGATGCAAACGCGAAATTTACTATCCAAAAAAAGGTCGACAGCCTACAATTCTTGACGGATTCTTTCTATATATCTATTAATTCAGCTTAGAAGACATTACAGTACTCCGGTATACGTAGTTTTATGCTTAGAAGTATGTGATTTAGATCCGAACCATCGATGAAGACTGAAATGGGACTAGCGTCTAGCTTTGTAGGCTTCACCATTCAGATTACATATTTGCCTCGTGTCATTTACGCTAGACAGGAGTTTGCCGCAAGAAGGAGCGAGAGTGCTTTCGGAGCTTTGGATTTTGTTTTTGGACGTTTGTTTGAGCAGCGTTCGTCACCGTACTGTAAGACCGAAGAAGAGAATGAATGGCCTGGAATGGTGAGCTGTGACAGCTAACTCCACAAAAAAAAATTTCCCGTAGGTGGTGCAGGAGTCGAGATATTGGGAGAACCTGCATTTATGGTCCGATTTGGTTCATATTCAGAAAGCGTATTTTAAATAGATTTACTACTATTTAACTTATTTAATTTTTTAGTTACAAATAAAAAAATACTTAACCAAAAATGGTTGAAATTTACAGACCTATGTACATACTACATCCGGTACTTTGAGGGGTAGCAAAAATTAGATATAGTACTACGTTTCAATCAGGATAGATCTTAAGTCGTGTACATGCGCTGCTAAATCGGCTATCTGTCTATTTTTGGCCCATAACATCATGAGTAAAAGTATAGATAAAGGAGATAAAGTGGTGTCAAAATATGTCGACAAATTTTGGAGTCAAAATATGGCATAGTGAAAACTAGCCTTAACAGACAGTCGGTAATGTCGATAACGATGTTTAACAGGAAGATAAAAAATATAATTTGATTTATTATACGATTTATAGCTAAGCAATATTTAAATATATTACGATTTTCTTTACTTTCAGTTTAATTCACAACAATTCACGATTACCAGTTTTGAGCGATTTATTTAAAAAGATAATGTAAATAAATGGAGAAATACCTTAATGTGATGATGTGGGTGGTTACGTGACTACATATGAAATGATGCACTTGAATATTTAGCTATGAAAAACTACTGAGCTTTGTAATTGAATCGTGAAACTACTAAGTTTTAACTGTAAATAAAATTGAAATCGCTCTCGGAGTAAAGATTTGCATCAAAACCAAATATAAATATGTATGCCGACAACACTGCCGCGAAAATGCAAATTTCAGCTTTGGGAACAGAGGAAATTCAACATCTCGATCTAGTGGATTTCCTCACATCCATATGAATGTATGTTGATGCATACCTATTCGCACACACAATGCCAACCAGCGTCAGATAATAAACGCAGATAGGGAGTAGATAAAAAGTAAGGTCGCGTGTGAAAGCGTATAAAGACAACCTCAAGCTGTAAAGAGCCGCAAAATGTTGCTATTTTCTCTGCTAAAGCAATATAATTAAACAGATTAGAAAGAAATCTCATTAAAGCATAATAGAATAAAATAATTACAACACAGTTTGACCGAGGAATCGCTTGAAAATGCCTATATTGGCGGCGAAAATTTCACAAGCCACAGCCTCAGCTGCCATTATGGCAACGCCAACAACGACAACGAATTCCATTGGCAGCAGCCAGGGCAATGTAGACTCTGGCGCAACAATAACAACAACGACGATAACAGATCCAACAAACACCGGTGGCGCGTTGAACCATCATTATCACCATCCGCCGGCGCCGCATGCGGCCCCAAACACCGTAGGCAATGTCTTGTCGTCATCGTCGTCGATGGCACCTGCAACAACGTCTGTAGCTGGAGTAGCAGCAGCCCCAGCAATAGCTATGAGCACCGTTGCAGCTAGTTTAGCCACATTTAACGGAAATTCAAATTTAAATGTTGCCAACGGAAACATTGGCGGCAGTGGCAATCACAGCAACAACAACAGCAATACTAATAGTAACATCGCCAGCAGTGGTGGTGTTGGTGGCGGTGGCAAAAAGTCAATGACAACACTGAATGCATCCCGTGAGGATGTTGCATCACCACCTTCAACGCAGATTCCGTCTCTACCGTCGCTCGCACAGCTGGGCAGTGCCATGCCATCAACGTCAATCAACAATCACCAGTTGTCAGCGTCCAGCAGTCAAGGTAATCGCAATCATAACAACAATAACAGCAATGGCACCGGCGCTAGCAGTAATAATAATGGCAATGGTAACGGCAATGGCAACAGCAACGGCAACGGCAATGGAAATATCAGCAGCATCCTCAAAGGAAGTAAAGGTGAGTGCGAAAAGCGAAAAAATAAATGTATTTGCAAATTGCCGTATCTAACGGAAATCCAATGTTGTACCACAAGTGGCAGTGGGCGTGCCAATATGTGTTACACAAACAACTTACTTAACACAAACAACAAACTTAATTTTCAATACCGGTCAGGCAGAAAGGAAGTTGAAATACGCAAATTTCTTATGTTAAACACTCTAAAAATTTTTTGTTTCAATTTACGCATATAAAGAGAAGGTAACCAGTTTCCTCTCCTAATGTGTGCAATTTTACATACCCTTTTAATAAAATTAAACTCTGTCTGGTTACTTCTACGTACAAAATTTGTCGCGTAGAGCAAAATTACATATAAAATATTTAAAATTGATTAAATATGAGCATTTAATGTTTATTATTAGTAGAAAATTTATTTTTACGTTCGAAACGTTTGCGATTTTAATCATTTCATGTTTATATTTATGTGTATATCTTAAAATCCCATGTTCAAAAATCTTGAACATCTTTGGCGAATATTTACATATTCTGGTTGAAAATTAAACACGTTAAACACAAGTAGTAGTTTTACATGCACTTTTTAGAGTGAATATTAAGGTTTTGAAAAAGTTCTTTCAATATAAAGAATACTGAAGTTCTGTCCCCTTATTGCCCTTTTTTACTATTTTGGCAAATTTTTCTGAAACCGTTTTTTAACCGAAAATATATTATGAAAAAAATGAGAGAGTAGATCATGCGGTCAGAGGTTAAAATATGTATGTGTAGAAGTCATACGATAAATAGGAAATTAGAAACCCATTATGTGATGTAAAGAATAGTTAAAAAAATGCCTGTAACATTTTGTCGATATAATATACGATCCATGAATAAATAGAAGCATCGAAAGAGCTCAGGTGTACGTCTCTTAACACATCGCTGCCAACAGCCTTATCCTAATCCGTGCAAACAGGGGCCGAAAATAACAGTTATTTTTTTTTTAAGTTAAACTTATTCAAATTAAACAAGTGTCAAATGAAAGAGAATTAAGTAGCTTTAAAAAGGAAAAAAAATTGAAAGAGGAAAGCCACCTATTGAAAAATATTTCAATAAAAAATATTATTTAATTTCCATAGAACAAACCTTGGATCAGGTATATGAATTTCTTTTATATTAAATTTTAAAAAAATATATACATAAATCCAGTTTGTAGCCTTCGTTCGTTATTTCTGTTTAAAAGCTATTTCAGTCTTCCTTCATTTGATACCAAATTTGTTAAATTTGGATAAGCGGTTTGTTTATTATCAGGAAAGGACTTTTATTTCGGACTTAAATAATATTTGCTCAAGTTTAACAAAAAAAAAACTTTTATTTTCGGTCCCTGCTTGTAAAGGATTTCGTTATGTACCTTAGGTTATCAGCCGCTTCTCGAATTTAAAGCATTTTTTTTTGAATCGGTAATAAAGAAGACAGGGAAACCCCTCCGCGGGACTGCGAAGCTTTCTGAGTTAAGGTCGTCGAGCCGACGATAATTCAATAGGGCGCGCAGGATTAAGATACCTTCTGATTGGGAACTTTATAAGGTTGGACTGGGAATCTACAAGTCCGAGATCAGAAAGACGAAAAGAGCTTCTGACTTGCAAAAAACTGTGAAGGTGCCGTGCCGTTGGCTAGCCCTTATCTACGCAAGCTGCGTAAGATACGGATAAATTGCCAAGGGTTGGAGGGTTGTCAAGGTGGTGTTCATCCTGAAGGCCGGAAAGAGCTTTCATGTTTTACTCAAGAGTTTCAGGTCAATTAGTCTCTCATCATTTCTACTGAAAGCGTTGAAGATAGCAGGAGCTCAACACGCTTATTGTAAAGGAAGGTCGGTGAAAACGCTCTGCATACAATTGGGAGGTGGATAGAAGAAGTCTTCACTTAACGATTTTGCTTTAAGAGCATTACTTAATATCGAGGGAGCTTTTAATAATGCCCTGCCGGAGGCAATAGTTAAGTCGATGGATAAGCTTGGTGTTGAAGTCAGCCTCATTCGGCTTGTTCAAAATTTGCTTTGTGACAAAACTGTTACGGCAGTATGGGGCAGCGCTGGCTTGCATCGCGCAGTGAATAGGGGCAACCCGCAGGGAGGTGTCATCTCACCCTTGCTCCGGGTCGTAGTGGTAAACGATCTACTAGAGGAGCTGCAGAAAGACTGCTGTCGCATAATTGCCTATGCAGACGAAGTTGCATTTATGTTTAAAGGTAAATTTGGAATACCCTTTATGAACTGACCCAACGGCATCTTAGCATGGTTATCTACTGGGCGGCCAGAAGTGAGCTCGCCCTCAATTCCAGTAAGACAGAAAGTATAAAATCCGTGACGCATGTATGTATTTGTGAATTTTATTGTGGTTTATTAACATTTAATTTAAATACTGTTATTGAGCTTTGTACCACGATTGTTTGTTAGGAAAAATGAAAAAGGCAACAAAGTCTAAGCGCTAAAAGTTATAGCAGCCATTTCGAAGATCACCACATCTCCTCACTTCTTTTTCTAGACTTCAGCAGGGAACGAACCGGAATCATCGATGTGCAAAGTCAGAAGCGCTAACCACTGAGCTAACCTGACGCTGGTCTTCCCTCTATTGGGGGTCACCGCTTACAGATATCTGACAAGATACAGTATATGGGAATGATCCTAGGCAGGAAGACAGGAAACCCAAAGTTTTATTACTGGTTGCATAGGGACAAACGTTGTAACAAACGCTTTTATGTTCATACTAGTCCTCTTATGTATACATATTACTTCCATGCGTCACGCACAGCATTTATGTATGTGTGTGTGCTCGATATCAACACCCCTGCAGGAAATGTGTCTAACTATAAGCTTACTTCAAGTTGATTAGGAAGGAGCTAAAAGTCACTTATTATCTGTTTATTTTCTTCGACGTAAGCTAACTATATTTCTATGGCGATGGCCGCGAAATAGTCAAGGGTGGTTTCCTCTGCATTAGATGTAGTCAAGGGTGATTACCTCTGCATTTGATGCAACT